CCAGAAGGTCACTGCCTGTGCCCGTCTCTTCATGTTTCCCCTGTATTTTCTTCTAGTTTCAAAGCATCTGGACATCGGGTTCATCCTGGGTCAGTCTGCTCTACAGAAGGCTGGGTGGGCCTCAAGTCGAGGCTCCTGCAGGTGCATGTTCGGTTTTTCCAGCTTCACCTCCTTCTTCAGCTCTGGGCCTTTGCTAGGCGATCTATGTTCTGTTCCGTTGCTCTGTGTCCTTTTATATGCCAATGCCACGCTGTTTGGGTCACTGTGACTCCGTCTAAAAGTCGGGAATGGTGATGTCTCCAGCTTTAGCTATTCAGGCCCTTTTGTGTCTCCGTATGAACTGTACGATTTTTTCCTTCATCCTGGGAAGAAGGTGTTTTTATGGGATTGTATTTGAGCTGAAGGTTGTGGTAGGTGGTGTGGACATTTAAACAGTATTACCTTGTCCAGTCCGTGACAATGGGAGCCCTTTTCCTGTTTCTTTTACTAGTAGTCTATTTCCATTGTAGAGGCTTCCTTGGGCAGGTTTTTGCTTTGTTATGAAAACAATTGTATTTATAGTATAATTCATAAAACAATTTATGATTGTTATCGGAGTAGAGAAAAGCTGCTGATTTCATGTCAGCCGCCACTTGACTGAATTCGTTTCAGTTCTTGTAGTCTATTGGTGGTGTCTTTAGCCAGAGAAGTCAGGCAGGAGAAACTCCTCCTAGTGTACAGAATAAGAGCAGTGGGGGTGGACGCTTGTCTTGTTCCTGGTCTGAGGAAATGCTTCCAGCTTTTCCCCCATGCAGTAGGCTGGGGGTATGCCTCTGTCATGTAGGGCCTTTCTTGGGTTGAAGTATGATCCTTCTATATACTCAATGTGTTCAGGGCTTTTATCACAAAGGGAAGTTGAATTTTATCAAATGCTTTTTCTGCAGCTGTGGTAATGATAAGTGTTACATTTATTGACTTAGTTATCCCTAAATCCTTGGAATGAATCCCAGTTGATCCTGGTGAGTGAGCCTCTGGGTGCATGGTTTAGTTTTACTTGCTGGTGTTTTGGTGGAAACTTTTGCTCTGTCATTTTGTTGGTGTGCCCTATGCAGGCCTTGTATAACGAACTCCTGTCCAATCCTGTGAAGTACTTTAAGAAGCATGTGTGCTGGTCTTTGAGTTTGGTAAAATTCAGCAGTAAAACCATCAGTCCTGGACTTTCCTTTATAGAGAGATTTTATTACTGCTCCTATCTCAGTGTTGATTCATTCAGGTGTCCTGTTGTGTCCAGAAACTTGTTCGTTTCTCTACTTTTCTAATTTGTCATAGTTTTTTGTAGTAATTCCTAATGATCTTTTGTATTTCTTTGTATTTGTTCTAATTAGCCATACATGACAGAAGAATGCATTTTGACATACATAAATGGCGTGTAGCTTCTCATTTGTCAGGGATCTCTTGTATTTCTGTTGTTATCATTTGAAATGTCTCCCTTTTCATCTTTATTTGGGTCTTTTTCTTGGTTATTATAATTAAATGCTTGTCCATTTTGTTTATCTTTTCAAAGACAAAAATCTTTGTTTCATTGATATTTAAGTCTGTAGTCCTGCTCTGATCTTTGTTGTTTAATTTGGGACTTGTTAGATTCAGGTTTCATTTCATTGTGATGAGAAGGAAAACGGGATATGATTTCCTTGATTATTTAAAAGTACCAGGGATTGAGCCCAAGGCTTTACACATGATAGGCAAGCACTTCATCACTTAGCTACATCTCCAGTCCTTTTTAAAATATTGAGATAGTAACACAGTATACTAAAACTTGTGGATTCTATTTTCATTCACTTTGAGAAATGTTAAGAATCTTCCTTCCAATTTCTTTAATGCCTTAAAAATAAGTTTAGTCTCCATGCATTGTACAAGTCCTTCAATTTGTTGGATTCTGGTTTCATTTCATTGTGATCCAAAAGGGTACAGGATAAGACTTCAGTGTTTTTGAATTTTCTTGGGATGTTCTGTAAATGTCCATCAAGTCCATTTGAGTCTGTTTTGTCCAAGTTGTCTGCCCATTAACAAAAGGGGCATGTTGAAATCCATATGCTATCAGAGCCTGTCTCTTTAGATTTAATAGTTTTTGGTAAAATTGGCTGCTTCAACCTTAAGTACATGTGGGTTTGTGTCTTCTTGTGGATCCCTTCATCAGTGTACAGCTACCTTGTTTCTCTTGGAGTTTTCATCTTCAAGTCTATTTTGAAGGAGGTCATTGTAGCTGGTCCTGCTGACTTTAGGGTTCCACTTGCTTGGATCATGGTTTCCCAGCCTTAGAGGGTGAAACTTAACTTTCACACACTCTTTCAATGGGAGAATTTAGTCCACTTACATTCAGTGTCATTACGATAAGGACTTACTCTTTTCAGGTTGCCCATTTCCTTCTAGTTTTCAGTATTCTTTATTTCCATTCCCTCTTTCACCTGGTGGTTTACTGACTATTAGTAAAGTTCTATTCTTCTCATGTTTTCCGTCACCTCCAGATGTAGGACTCCCTCAGGTGTCTTTTGAGAGCCTGGTCTGATGGTCCTCAATTCCCAGTTTTAATCTTGGTTATTTTCTTTCCGTTCTTAGTAGAAACCTTACCAGACAGTAAGGGAATGACATCCTGACACATCTGCTGTTGTTTTGATGGGGATGCCTTTATTATGTATGACCTTGGCACTTTTCTCTTGAACATTATCTTGTATTTTTCAGTTAGACTGGTGAAAATTTTTCTGGTCATATTCCAGTCAATCTATTTGGGGTTTTCTTAGTGTCCTGTATGTCTGTCCATATCTTTTCTAGGCCCTTAAACTTTATCTACTTGCCTTCAAGTACAGATATTTTTTCTTCTACTTCATCTTGTCTTTTGTTGAGGTTTTCAACATCTCCCTGATGTTTCTAATTCAGATCCTCATTTATTTTCCTTAAACCCTGTAACTATTTTCTATCCCATTAAAATGTCTGATAGATGAAATCTTTAAATTCTTTATTTCAGTGTTTGTGGTATCCACTGTTACATTCCTTTGGAAGCATAGTTCATACCCCCTTAGAATAGTTGATTCCTTTTTAGAAGACAGCTCTCTTCTGGAGGTGTTGGCTTTGTTTCTAGCTGGACACCACAGAATTGTCTTCCGTACCCTCACAGCAGGTATCAAAGGTAGAGACCCCCCCTCTCAGCAGGTCGCACATTTGGTCTTATTAGCATTCTAGCAGTTTAGGCAGGAAGGGGTGCTCCCTGTGTCTCCTATTGTAATGGGGATGTCCTTGGGCACCTATGAAGCTAGTTCTACAGCAAGAGTCTCTGCCCTGATGGCACCTGAAAGACCTGTCCTCTGACCAAAGTGGGCAGACAGGTGGCAGTAGAACTGTGGTGTTCCCCTCTGCCAGTGCCGTGACAATTCCTCCTGGGAGCAGGACCTCAGCAACAGTGCATTTGGACCGCCTTCGCTGTATGCACTGGGGGCAATAGGCAGCCCCCCCATAGTGCCATCTGAGAATGGGCAGGTGTGGGGCTCAGCAGGAGCCCAAAGTTACCCAAGATTCCCCCCTTGCAAGCTCAGGTGACAGCCAGCGTTGCTTGAGGCCCCCCCTCCAGCCATGCGGCTCTTGAGGAATTTACATACCTTCAATCTTTCAGCTCCAGGAGTACTCTGCCATGTATGTGTGAGGGCTGTTCACAACTCACAGTGGAAACTCATGGTACAAAAAGTCGGACTCACAAGTGCTGTCTCTTAGAGGTGGCAAGAGTGTGGGTGCACCACGGAGCTCCTGCCATCGCCTCCCCCGCTGTGGGGAAGTTGGCTCCTAGTTAAGGACCGAGTGCAGGGAGACCTGCACGGTATTTGCCCAGATGCCTGAGGAGAAGAGAGGTAAACAATGGTTTGATAGCCAACAGTTTTATTGGTTTTGCAATTAGTCTCCTACAGTTGAAATAAGAATTTGTTTCCCACATCTATGACATGTAAATATTAGCCTTTGGAAATTGGGTCATAAACACTAATTTTCCCAGTTCCTATTTTATTCTTCTCCTTACTCACTCAACCTATTGATCCCTTCTGCCATCATTTCCCGCTGCCATGGACACTTACCAGTTGCTTCTCAGTTCTCTGCTCCTCGAGCACCATCCAGGGCTTCTCTGCTGTGTGTGGTGAAGTCCTGCTTCCCCACCCAAGCCAGAGGTGTGCAGTGCTTGTGACTGGGTGGTGGAGTTCCTGCTCTCCCACTGTCTCTGGGTGGCCCCCTCAGTGTGCCTTTATGAGTGTTTCTCAGCCGCCCCTTCCCTACCTCCGTCTCTCACCATGAGGTTTTGGCTGAGGGAAGCCGGGGATTCCAAGGGAGATATAGAAAGTGAAAGTCTCCTACAAAAGGACTAAGTTATGCTTTGACACACAGAACCACTCAGTCTCCGGGTACTCCTCCCTCTCTATCCCCACACCAGAAACCTAAAAAGCAGCAGAGTCCAGTTCCTGATGTCAGTGGTTTCCCAACCTTTTCCTTGTCTGGGAGAAAATAGTTGTTTGTAGGTATGCCAGGGTCCATGGAGAGGACTGGGGGCAGGGAGCCTCCCTCTGGTGACTGTGACCCCTCCTGCTGCTGTAGACTGGCTGCAAATCTGTCCTAAGCAATGTATTTGCTGAATGACAGGAAGAAAAAACAAACATGGAAGACATTTCATTCTCCTGTTGCCGGGAGGATATGGTCAATTCCTAAAAGATCCGTCTGGGAGGCGCCTCCATCACCTGTGCCTTGATGCTGCATGAACACTGTCTCAGTCATGTGCGGCTCTGGAACGTTATGAACTACTTATGCCGGGTCAGAAAAAGGGGCCAGCTTCACTGCCTTGGGGCTGTGGGACCACGGCGGGTGTTCAAGTGTGCCCGTGGTGAAGGAGCCAGGTAGCACCTGGCAGAGACCCGTTACTCGACTGGTACCACACAGGGCTCGCTCTACCTGCAAAAGGGAAAAAACCATTTCTTCTTCTGTTTCTCTTACAGGAATTCAGAAGTCGGCTCGGGGCTGCGAGCTCGATGCCCCCCACCTCTGCAGCGAGTCCCAGAGCCGCTCTGCAGGGGCTCCATCAGGACCCTGCGCTGAGGGTGGCCGTGGGCCTGGCGCTGCTGGCTCTGCTTCTGGCGTTTTTTGCCAAGGTCTACACTTAGGACACAGCTAACTGGAGCGTCTGTGAAGAAGAAATTAAGATGCTCAGCGGACAGGAGAGCCACCCCGCCGGGTCTCAAGGGCAGCCGGTGGTCCGGGCCGGACTGCCTCCTCTGCAGCCTCTTTCTGACGAGGCTCACCCCATCTCGCACCAAGTTGGGCCCTTTGGCTGTTTGACCCCAAACCAAATCACAGCTGGTGTAGCACATCTTTCAAATTAAAAAAAAAAAAAGCCAAAAGGTTGGGTTTGTTTTTTGGTAAGACACGCAAGCGATTGGAAACAAATGCGACCTTCAAGTCTGACCCCAACTCTAGGGCAACTCTAGTTTTCCTCATGTGGAAGGATTTGGGATCCCTAACAAACATTTTTAAGTGTATCTTCCTCTTTGTGCTTTTTCACAGTATACCCGAGAAGTTTATATAGAAACCCATTTTTGGAACTAGAATCCCTTTAGACTGGAGAGTGCCCGCTACTTCAGGGACTCTTGGCAGGGTTGAGAGGTGAGAACCGTCCGCTTAACAGCAGACTTTGAAAGAGTGGGTTGGTCCAAAACAGCATCCCTTTTTGGATCGATCAGGTCACATTTTTATTTCCATCTGATGCCTCAGTCTTCACCTAGTGACTTCCTTCATAACTGAAGGTGCTGGTGTCCCAAGCAGGCCTTCTCTCAGGATTCTACATACAGCCTGGGTCCCTTCTCACTCCCCCACCCACCCTGGGCTTTCCTCTTCTGCCTGAAAGAAAGGACACACCCATCCATTCACCAGCCCCACTCGTTAGCCCCCCCCCAATGGATCCTCCTCAAGGATCCTTTCAAGGGTCGGGGACCCTCCCCGAGACTGACCCACCCTCACTGAGGCTGCAACTCCAGTCTGCACTTGGTGCAAAGAGGGAGCAAAGCCACCGTCCTGCATCAGGGCCTGGACCACAGACCAGGTCAGCCACACTGTTGGTGGTGGCAGCGGTCTGCAAATCTCCTGCTGGAGGTGTGGGGGAGGAGGATGGAAAATACCTCTCCTGAGACAAGAACCTGAATGAGTTGAGCAGTGGGGGTGTGGCCCCAGGGAGCTGCCTGTCCCTACCTGCCCTAGTGCAGTCTATCTACCCTGAACTTAGGCAGCCTTTGAGGCTTCTTTAGCCAGTGGGATGTGAGCAGAGAGTCCCATCTCTAGGGCAGTCACCTGCAGAGCCCTGTACTGGGCCGTGTGCTCTTCCTGCTGCTGCGACCATGGCAGGGCGAAACCTTCCACAGGCAAGTTGCTGAGGCTGGCTTTGAACTCGCAATCTTCCTGCCTCATCTGTGAGGAAATTAATTAAGATGGGGGGATTACAGGCGTGCATCATCACCCCTGGCTACATGTTTTTAGTTTACCAGTCTTTCTACCTGGGTCCTTAAGTAAATGCCAGGAGCAGAGTCCCCACCAACATGCCTCTTGCTGGGGTGGAAGGATTGTCACTAAAGCGTGACCTCATCCAGAAGAGGATGGCGGGCACCTCATCTGGCCTGCAGGTTGTAGGGGTGATTGTCATTATGCCTCATGTTTCCTTTTATGTTCTCTAAACACCAAAATGTTTTTCCGTCGTATTTTTAATGTCTTTTCTTCTCTCTCCTTGCTAAGAGATCGACGCTTTGACCAGTTGTTTTTCTTAAACTTAGCATAAAACATGAAAATGTACATAACTTGCAATGATTTTCAAAATTTGAATATGTACTGCAGACAGCTCCTTGTGTCCTCCTAACCTTGAACTTCACCCCCAAAAGATGACTGCTACCCTTTATCTCCAATTTCTACCTGGAGACATTTCGCCTCTTTATGACATTTGCATAAATGGAATCGTACACTACACACATTTCACGTGTTGAAGGAGATATGTCTGGGTCGTGGGCAGTAGCGGATCCTTTATGTTCCTTGAAGAGCCTACTGGCTAAAAGGCCACATTTGAGTTGTTTCCAGTTTCTTGGCTACCGTGGATTGTGCTGCTATAAAGATGTTTTGGAACAACTAAGTGTTTGGATGTTGAACTCTGATCTAGGAGTGGAACCACTGGGCCTTAGCACTTGAGCATGTCCAGCTTTAGTAGACACTGCCAAATGGTTTTCCGAATCAGTTGCACAGCCCCACCAGCAAAGGACATGAACCTGGCCACTCTGTCTTCTCTTAGTGCCTCTTCCGTTCTCCGTCAGACCTGCTCTGCTGCTCCCCTTCAACGGGCCAGCTCTATTTTAATATTGATAACTGTTACCTGTCCAGCCTTTAAATGCACTAGATGACATTACAACATGAATTTTATTGGTGCCGATGGGTCCTGAAGAAATAGCTTTGGGATAGATATTATTCCCATTTAATGGGGGGGGAGGTGCAGGGAGGGAAGACCCTAAAACTCAGAAATTAACTTGCAGAGGGGACAGAAAATTACGAAGCTGTAGGGGCCGAACTTGCTCCCAGCCCAACCCCCAAGCCAGCCCTGGTGCAGTGGGACGTCTTCCTGCTCATCCCAATCTGGCCTAAACGCGACCAGTTGCCAGCACAGATACCTAGGATTGACCACGTGAACCCCTGGGTTCTGGGGAGCCCAACTCTCAACTCTGTTGCCCTGCTCTGGGAATGTGTGTGGTCTTTGATAAATGTTTTAAACAAATATTAATCTTTTTCTTTTATTCCCTGCTTTAAGCATAAAATAGTCAATTTGAGACTATAAAGAATTCCTTGGTAAAAACTTTGCAACTGAGAACATGTGTCTAAAAATTAGATTTTCAGGTATGCTTCAGTCAAAACACTACTTGTATGCCTCTACGCCTGGCTGAAAATTTCACTGTATGTTAGATGTTATGGAGGAAGAATTCAAGCTAGAAATGGAGCTGCAAGAAGTCTTGTACTTTTTAAATGAGGTAAAGTAGGAGATAGGAAAGTCATGAAGAAAAATGACAAAGGAAAAGGGGAAGAGATCCTCAAGTTTGGCACAACCATCCAACTGTAGAAACCGAATGGTACATCAGAAGCACTGTATAAATCAAAACATCCTGTGGAATACCTTACAGTTTACAATCAAATGTAAGAGTGTGTATGAAGAGGCTTGCCTGGGCCCAAAGGTGCCCCAGGTTGCTGCAGTGAGCTCAGGAGTACCCTGGGATATTTTAAATTCTTGAAGAAACAGCATCAGATACTATGTAAGCTGATAGCTCAAAATGGTTTCTAGTTTTCAACATCAGTTTATGCAATTTTTTATGCCATGTTTTTGTAAGACTATATTCTTAATGGCTGCTATGATTAAGAAGCACATATCCAGTAAAAAACCTATGTGGAGCAGAAATGAACACAGTTGTCTTATTCCAAGATCTGAGATGGGGCCCAGTGCCTGGGAGATGTACACCTGCCATTAATAATTGTGGCAATTTTAATATGAAGTAAAAGTACTTTAAGATACAGGTTTTTTCCTAAGAAAATAGTTATATTAGGACACATACAAGTGCTTAGTAAGTTCTTAGGGCCTACCTACTTAATAAACAGAACGCCCTAGTGTTTCTTTGGCTGAGAGATGTCATGAGTCAAGGAAGTTTGAAAACGTCTGCTCTAGGGTTGCAACCTAATTTAGAAGATCCATGCTTAACATTTCATCTGGGGTCCTACTCACTTCTCAAAATATTTCCCCCTTACCTTCAAGTTGACTTGGCCGTAGCACATCTTTGATAAGTTACACTTGGCTTATCGCTGAATTTGATTTCTAAGGTGTGGAAACCATATAGGAGTTAAAGATCTGAATCAATTGGATTCAGGTTCTAGTTGTTGCCAATACGAATTTTAGGCAGATATCTAAGGAAAAGGAGCTGGGGTTTTGAGCACCAGCAAAACTTTGGTTTAAATTCCAGCCAGGCCATTTCTCGTTTTGAGCCTTGCCCATAAAACGAGAGTCATTGAAAGATGAAGTGAGATCATGTCCAAAGATTGTCCCTCTTCTTTTGACCATTGATATACCATTTCCTCCCATTTCTTGATAACTCCAGCTATTTAAAGGTGACCCCAGTTTTATAGTTGGGTGTTTTAAATTCTGATAAATGCATAACCACCCACAATTCCATATAGCATAGAAAGTCATCCAAAGTTCCTTGAGGCACGAATCTAACAGATACAGTCAAGGAAGAAAAATTCAAAGAAAATGGATTACAGCTGTATTTGAGGAGATCAAATTAATGAATAGTGTAGAGCACAGATCTGGGTGGCGAGCCAAGATCAAGGGGATTTTCTATGGCCCAAGATGAAAAGAGCCGGATTAGTAGGGAGGCCTCCAAGTCATGCCCTCCCCCACCCTGCCTAGAGGGTAAAAGGCAATGCAGATGTTATTCTTCAGTAGTTTCCTGTCAATTATTTCCTCTCAATACCTTTCTTGGAGTTCTGTGGCCAAACATCCCAACTGTGGAGAAGTCCAAGCAAGGAGTGCATCTGGTCTCTATGGCTCTCCCAGCTAAGGACATCTGAACACACTTATGAGTTCTGATGAGGTAAGAGGCCAGGGAGGGGGGGAACGCCAGGGAAGGTGTGGGGGGAGGGCCAGGGAAGGTGGGGGGGGGGAGGGCCAGGGAAGGGGGGGAGCCCCAGGGAAGGTGGGGGGGGGAGCCCCAGGGAAGGTAAGGGTGAAGCTAGAGTCCAGAAAAACCTGCAGAACTAGAAATCTTAACTCCTGTGTTTATCTAATCTGCTTATAATATACCTAATTAATCATAATAGCTAACGATGTTATCCCAGACTTGTTCCAAGGCCTAACCTTTTGACTTCTGTATTTACCCCAATATCCATAAACAATGAAATTATGGTTTTTAAGTAGATCTAAGGATATAAGACATGCCTGTTTACTTAAAACATTTTGTACTCCAGCCTGACTTCATGAACCACATAGCATACCATCCACATAGAATATATGTAAGGAGGGATTCCAGTCACACCCGACAACCTGCTTTCAAATCCAGTATTGTCTCCCTCATGGTCGCTTGAAGTGACTAATGATACTTTTTGCCCTGAAGGTAGGTCCTAGCCCACCTTGTGGAAGGATACTGTCTGGAATCTTTAATTTGTTTGAAATAACCAGGAATGATGTGAATCTATCTGACAAGTGGACCTAAGGTTGAACTAGGTATATAGGGGAAGGGAGGGTTCCTGGGAAGATTCTGATTTTCAGGGCTCGATCCTCTTAAGGAAATGCCTCATGACAAGACTTTCTTCCCCTAGACTAGGTTCCCCCCTGAGCAGCATGAAAGACACATTATACTCCTAACAAAGAAAAGTCCAAACCAGATGGCTATAGAAGTGAATTCTAGTTGAGGAATACAAATCCTTCCTTTCGAAAAATTGAAATGAACACTTTCAAATTCATTATATAAAGTTAGCATTGCCCTTATGCCAGGACCAGAGAAGGACAGTATAAGGAAGTAACCAGCCA